GAGAATCGCAGGAAGTGATTGACACCTTATTTTCACACTTAAACCACAACGCTCAACTTTCCACGCGTCATTTGTTTGTGAGTGGTGTTAATAAGCTTCATCTACACACACACACACACACACACACACACACACTCATGCACACACACACACGCACACACACATGCACACAGTCACGCACACACACACACACACACACACACACACACACACACACGCACACACACACATTACAGGTTATAGAGACAAAAGATTAGCGATGATCAATCTAAACCTTTTGTGGAAGAATTAACACACAAACGTCACAAACAGCAGAAATAACGACAGCAAAAGCAGAAAGAGAAGGAAAGTAAACGTCCGTCATGTTGTGCAGCATCAGTGATGCATGTTGAGATGAACAGAAGTCTGCAGACTCCTGTGCAGTTTCTCTCGATGGTTTGACCTTCAGTGCTGATGTCACACTGCAGATGTAGTCACAGATCAACGTTTGCAGTGAAATGATTGGCTGAAACACAGGAAGTGACAGCTGGAGTCACTCATGTAACTGAACCGAGCCTCCATCATGTTTGTCATGTTTCGTACGCTAAAGACGTCCCACGTGTGAAGGACGCGGTATGTTCTTCTGTAAGTGTGAGCTAGCTGGTTAGCTTCCCGCGTTTGTGCTAAGCTAGGCTCAACTCTTCATGGAGCCGGACTCAAATGTCCTGATAATTGTCTCAACTTTGACTTCCAACAACCCTGAGAGGTGGAGAGAAGGACTTTTAAACAGCTGGAGCTTTAATGACAGATGTGGGGAATGTGAGAGGAAATGTGGCTGCAGCCAAAAAGAAAATGTCAAGAAGTCGCAGCTTAAAATGAGAGAAAGACGGTAAATGTACACTTCATGAGCAAAAAGCATTTCATCATCTCGTAATAACGTTTTAACAATATTACAAGTCGTTGGCAGTGAAGCCAAGAGCACAATGGACGCCTTCATAGTTTCATACTCGTATCAATGAAGGCCCATTTAGTGACTGATGTCATGAGTCACACTCTGTTTCACTCGCTGTCTGCTTTGAGACGCACATTAAGACACAACGCCACAGAGACCCAAAAGCAGCCAGTGAGCTCATGTGCAGAAGTCCACCACAACTTCCTGTGAGTGTCGAGCAAAAACACACAATAGGCGTCAGGAGTTGTGCACAGTTACTTTCCTCTTTTAAAGCAAATATAATGTCAAATATGTAACGGGACAACTACTCCATGGAATGAACCCGCAGGTGTTTGTGAGAGCTTCATAAATCTGTTCTGCATGTGGGAGGAAGGAGCGATGGGCTGATTGTCCCCACTGACCGACCCTCAAAGCTCACAACGCACCTTTCTACAGGACGCGTGGAGAGGGAGGAGCTACACGGAGCGACAGCAGGCTGATTGGTTCATTTACAGCAGAGAAACTGTCCATCCTTCATGTCTCTAATGCAACCGCCTGCAACCGTGTGCATGATGCATCTTAACACGCCACACATGCATGTTTGCTTGTTTTGTCCTCCAGTCTGTCACTGCACCATTAAACAAGGCTGTGAAGGTACAACGCGTGAACAATGAGCCACGAGATGGCTCCTCTTTGTCTCCTGTATGTCTCCTCTATGTCTCCTCTGTGTCCGCTATGTGTCCTCTTTGTCTCCTGTATGTCTCCTGTATGTGTCCTCTTTGTCTCCTCTATGTGTCCTCTTTGTCTCCTGTATGTCTCCGCTATGTGTCATTTATATCTCCTATATGTGTCCTCTTTGTCTCTTGTATGTGTCCTCTATGTCTCCTGTATGTCTCCTCTTTGTCTCCTCCTCCTCCTGCAATTGACCGAATGCTTCTTCTCTGCACACAAACAGAACACATCAATTCTTTCCTGTTTAAGAAGCAGAGAGCGAGACATCACATGAGATATGACGACGCAGGAGGACAGAGATCAAATGTCACATGTTATAAAATCTATTGTTACGAAGCCTCTTAAGCTGCACGGAGGCTGTAATGTAAAGAATGTTCGGTTGTGATAGAATCTAGACAAACGCACAACACACACAGACACACACACACACACACACACACACACACTGGGAGTCTAAAAGCTGGACGTGTGAGTGACTAAGCAGCTGTGTCTTTCACTTTTAAGATATAAATACTACAATCCTTAGATGTGTGAGCTAAAACAGCAACATGGACGTGTCTCTAACGCAGCACGGTGCCCTTTGAGATACTTTAAGCTTTAAGGACAGAGACGTTTGAGTGGCGCTGAAGGAAACGTAGCATCTAGTGTTTCTGCAGCTCGACTGTGTGTAGGAACTAATCAGGACGTCCTAACTTTTACTCCACCTTCATCAGGAGGACAGTGATGATATCTCACCCCATCAATCACGAAATGTACACCTGCAGTCTAGTTTACACGTGAAACCACATTTGATCATCAGGTTGTCTCACTTCAGTATCCCATCAAACGTCTTGTATTTGCTGTGCAGAAAGCCACCATGAAACAAACGGGTGCTGCTGGTGTTGTTTCGTACGGATCAGAAAACAATGACAGGCCAATCAGAACGCTGTGCGGCTGATCCCGCCCCCCTGCTGTGATCACATTAAGCCACATCATCCTGTCAAATGATTTAATTCAACTTTAGTCTCAAGTGGCAGAAGAAGAAGAAGATGATCCTATTTTATTTACTCCTGGTTCTCCGAGCGGGGCGTAAGTACACGTTGAACTGACTCAGTTACTTCAGATAAACGTTGGTACCTCACATTCCTGATTCTTTCTGTCATCAATCACTGAACCGAGTTCTCTGATTTCAGGATGCACAGACGATCTGATCTTTGAGACAAAGCCTGTTGGACAAAGTGTGTCTCTGACTTGTCCTCGTAACGTCTCTCTGACCGGTGGAACCTTGTTCTGGATGAGGCTGGTTTCTGGAAACGTACCTGAGTTCTTTAGAGGAACATTTCTTTTTGACTATGAGCTCGATACGATTTCTCACATCACAACAAAACAAGGGCCGGGAACATTTCTGCTGCACATTCATCAGGCAAAGCGGAGCGATACTGGAGTTTACTATTGTTTCGAAATAAACACACTCTCTGTGACACTAAAGAAATCAACATGTCTGATAATTAAAGGTAAATATGATTCATACAAGTAGTTTATGTATAAAACGGTGTGTAGTTAATGGGAAAGTCATTTTATTCATAAATGAACAGTGCTTGTGTTCATTAAAGCATATTTATTATGTCTTCATTTCCAGGACCCGAAGCCAATGTCCCCGTAATCACTAAAAGCGCTCCAGCAGATCCGGTCCGTCCAGGAGACTCAGTGACTCTGCAGTGTTCCGTCCTCTCCGTCTCTGAGGAGACGGAATGTCCAGAAGGACAGAAGGTGTTCTGGTTCAAAGCCGGCTCGGATAGATCTCCTCCACATGTGATTTATGTCCATGGAAACCGGGATGGATGTGAGCAGAGTCCTGAGGCTCCCCCTCCACACAGATGTGTCTACAGCTTCTCTAAGAACATCAGCTCCTCTGACGCCGGCACGTATTACTGTGCCGCGGCCACATGTGGACAGATGCTACTTGGAGAAGGAACAACACTGGAAACTGAAGGTACCGATAAATCATTAATACCGATCCTGTATCACAAAGTGAGTGCGCGTGATGCCCGACTTCACCGGGTCGTCATAGTTTTTATACAGACTCTGATTATTTGCTGGTCTTCTTTCAGCCCCCCTCATGTGGGATTTGCAGGAGACGGTTCTGATCGTCCTGTCAGCAGCTCTGGCTTTTTGTCTGCTTGTTGTCGTCTTCCTGATGTTTATTATCAAGAGGAAAACTTGTCAATGCTGCAACGGTAAAATATGTTTCTCAGTTTGCTTCAAAAGCTTCCAGAGTCTTTCCTCCTAAAGATCTGCTTCTTTTTATGAAACAGATGCAGTTACTCCTCAAACAGCCGGCTGTGACCCCCGAGGTCAGCAGGTGGGTTCATAGAGAAAATGATGTTATTGATGTTTCAATATGCTGTTAAATATGCTGTTTCATAATACTTTCCATCTGCTCAGAGAGATGAAGACCTTCTGACTTATTCTGCACCAACCTTCACCGCCAGGAAAACAGTCCGAGCAGAGAGAGAGAACGCTGAAGCAGCAGCAGAGACCGTCTACGCTGGTGTCAGGACTTAGTGATACATTAACAACATTGTTCTATTATTAGACATAAAGTCAATTTAGTTGTTGATATTCTGCTTCAAATGTGTTATTGATTCATGTCATTTTATTCCTATTAGTTACAGTCTTTTACTTTGAAAACCTTTGAAAACTCGTTTTATTTTGATGAGTTGTGATGATTTTTGTTGCTTCATTGTGCAGCTTCTCTTGATTCTTTTATAATGATGTGAACCTCAGATAGTCAGAGGTCTGAGGGATGTTTCCAACTGGGTCTCGTCTGTAACGACGTAAACTTCTGCTGTTTGCATCGATGAAAGGTTTCCCTCTTCTCAAAGGGTTTCTCTTTTCTCATAAGTGTGAAATCATGATTTGATTCATTTGAAAATAACTTTAGTAGCTGATCTTGTATAAGACAAACATTTTGTCTGATACCACACTGACCTCTGACCACTCTTAAGAGATTTACATCATTTTCATTCATTCTTCTTGGAGAAAAGGCTCCCATTTGCCTCTGGAAAAGAAACTAATTACTGTATAATTAGACTAAGCATGAAGAAAATTATCAAAAACAAATAAAAACCTTGTAAAATCCTTTAAACATGTTGGTATTTTTGTGCTGATAAGTTCAGGTGGTAAATCACAGACGTGATGGTTGCTGTGTAAAGCTGGAGCTGTATAAATATAACGTCATATATGATATTTGGTGCTGGGTTAGTGGCGTGGTAGTTGGTTAGAAGTTGTTGGTTTGTGTGCGATTAGCATCACTAAGGGAAGGACGCTGTGGACCAGCTCGGTGTGGCCAGCGTGTGCGTTGAGGAAGAGGAGAATAAGGAGCCAATCAAAGCAGCCACGAGCGCTTTCTGCTGAGCAAACGTGATCCGATTAGACCACAACAGTAAATATTCATTTTTCTAATGTAACTGATTTAAACGAGACGAAGCCATGCAGTGAAATGAGCGTTTTTTAGAGACAGTCAATGTTTCCAGAACATGTGTCCTAATAGAATTATGGATCCCCAGCTTTTCACTTTGCCTCTGAAAAGTGGACCTTTGTGCTTTTGAGTGGCGTCTCTGCTGCCGGTAATGATGGTAAATGATGCTTGTAGCTGGTTGTCATTTACGGTCACTACGGTTACATAAAGGTGTCGTTTGTGTTTTCACGTTTTCTCTCATCATTTCGACTTTCTATCCCCTTTCTTCAGTGCGGAAATGGGCTTCTATAGTTGTGTGAATGCCTCACTCGGGCCAATCCAAAGACGTGTTTGTAACCAATCAGATGTAGATACCATGGTGACTGGCTCCGCCCCCTTACTGTCAAAAAGAACAACAGCGAGCGCGTAGAAAACCCCTTCGAGCGCGAGCAGAGACTCACCTCGCGAGCAAGTTCACGTTCCACGAGCGAGCAAATATCTCATAAGAGACAGACTTTTGCTCGTGAATGTTTGATTCACGCCGCCCATGAACCTGATCTGTGCTCTTGAATTTTGATCGTGATTTGCCGCCATGTTAGTGTGTGTATGTTTATTTATTTAGTTTCCTTCTCTCTTTTAGTCCTGTGCCTTTGTGGAAGGAGGGAACAGCCGGCTTTAACACGCCTTCTGGCCATTACGAGTACCTCGTGATGCCTTTCGGCCTAACCAACGCTCCGGCGGTGTTCCAGGCATTGATAAATGACGTGCTTAGATAATTTCTTAACCACCTGGATGACATTTTGATTTTCTTCTCTTCTCGCATATTCGCCATGTCCGCCAAGTTCTCCAGCGCCTGCTTGAGAACCAGCTTTTTGTTAAGGTAGAAAAGAGTGAATTTCATGCCAGGTTGTGTCTTTCCATGGCTTCGTCATAGCCCCTGGAAAGATACAAATGGACCCGGCTAAAGTCAGCGCTGTGGCTCAGTGGCCTACACCTGATAACCGCAAGAAGGTTCAGCAATTCCTGGGTTTTGCTAACTTCAGAAACTTCAGCGCCATAGCAGCTCCCCTTCACGCTCTCACCTCTCCCCAAGCTCCATTTATGTGGTCTCCCCAAGCTGAGGAGGCCTTCACCCAGCTCAGGGAGAGGTTTTCCACAGCCCCCATTCTCGCAGTCCCAGACCCCAGTCGACAGTTTGTGTTGGAGGTGGATGCCTCTAACGACGGCGTGGGGGCGGTCCGGTCTCAGCGTTCTGCAAAGGACCACAAACTACACCCCTGTGCCTTCCTGTCCAGGAAACTTTCAGCAAAGGAGCGGAACTATGACGTCGGTAACCGTGAGTTGCTCGCTGTAAAGTTGGCACTGGAAGAGTGGAGACATTGGTTAGAGGGGGCTCAACACCGGTTTATTGTATGGACTGACCCCAAGAACCCGGAGTATATCCGCAAGGCCAAACGCTTGAATTCTCGCCAAGCCAGATGGACTCTGGTTTTTAACCGCTTTGACTTTGTTTTGTCCTACAGGCCGGGGTCCCAGAACACCAAGCCGGACACCCTGTCTCGTCTGTTTGACCCTGAGCCCACTGCCATGAAACCTGAGCCAATCCTGCCACTGCACCGTGTGGTAGGAGTGGTAACGTGGCAGATAGAATCAGAGGTGAAGCGTGCTAATGGTGAGAACCCTACACCCAGCGGTTGTCCAGTCAATCGCCTGTTTGTTCCGGTTGCTATGCGCCCACAGGTGATTCACTGGGCTAACACCTCAAAGCTCACTTGCCATCCAGGGATCAGGAGAACGATGTGCGCCATCAGACAGCGGTTCTGGTGGCCTTCCATGGAACGCGAGGTCCGGGAGTATGTGGAGGCATGCCCTCTCTGTGCCAGGAACAAGACCTCGTCCCAGGCACGGACAGGTCTGCTGCAACCACTTCCGGTGCCCAGCCGACCCTGGGCTGAGATCTCGCTGGATTTCGTCACAGGTCTCCCGAGGTAACACCACTGTTCTCACAGTGGTGGATAGATTCTCAAAGATGGCTCATTTCATCGCCCTGCCTAAACTGCCGTCCGCCAAGGAGACGGCCGAAACCATGCTTAACAATGTTTTGCGCATCCATGGGTTTCCTAAGGACGTGGTGTCGGACCGGGGGCCCCGATTTATATTGCGGTTTTGGAAGGAATTCTGCAAGCTGATCTGGGCCACGGTCAGTCTCACGTCAGGATACCAACCAGAGGCCAATGGCCAGGCTGAGCGCCTCAACCAGGCACTGCAGACATCTCTCTGTTGCCTGGTATCCCAGAACCCATCATCTTGGAGCAAACACCTGACCTGACCTTGAATACGCCCACAATACTCTTCCCACGGCAGCCACTGCGTTGACTCCCTTCCAGTGTGTCTTTGGCTACCAACCGCCCGTGTTCCAGGAGACCGAGAAAGAGGTGGTCGTCCCGTCTGCCCATAACATGATCCGGCATTGCCGCCGAATCTGGGCAGCCGCCGCACAAGTCCTCCTCCGCAGTGCGGAGAGTAGGAAGAGGGCCGC